CCTCGTCTCGGTGGCCTCCTCGGGGCGGGTCGGGCCTCCTCGGGGCCCCGCGAGGCGGGCCGGGGCTCTCCTCGGGGCCCCGACGAGGCGGGGCGGCCCCGCCCCTTCGGGGCGGCTCGGGCCCTTCCCCGAGTCGGGGTCCCTCGGGGCGCCTCGGTGCCCTTCTCGGGGTCACGTTGCCCCCATCGTACTTGAGGGCCACATCCCAGAAACAAGTTCGAGCACCCAGAGAAGTATCGAAACGGTGTCGAACGAGCATCGCCTCCCGAGGCCCGACGCGTGGAAACCCTCCAGGTCCAGTACTTTCCTGGTGCACGGAATTCCTTCCGGCGATCAGGGCTAAAGTAGGTTGGGACATCATAATTCTCGAGGCGAGCCGGGGCTCCTCGGGGCCTCTCGGGGCGAGCCGGGCTCCCCCTGGGCGGGTCGGAGCGGGTCGGCCAAGAAGCCCGGAGAGCTGGCGAGGTTCGGGGTTCGAGCCCTGGCGCCAGCTCGGAAAGCGAGCCCTGGCGGGCGAGGAGAGCTCCGGCCTGCTCTCGAGGCCCCGGGGGGGCGCGGCCCAGGATGGCCACGGGGGAGGGCCCATGCAGGGCAGCCCGCGGTCACCCAGGGCACGCCGATGGTAAGCCAAGGAGGGCAGCCAAGGGGTAATCTTCTGCTAAAATCTCTGGGGCAGGCTCTGCGGGCACACGGGGTCCCACCGGGGCCGGGCGGGGCCCTCACGGGCAGGTCGGGTCGGGCGGGCGGGGCAGGAAAGCTTGGATTCAAACAGGGCTGAACCTAAACGGTGTTTTTCGTTTTCGTTCTGTTTTCGTTTTCCCTCGCGCTTGTCTCGAACCCGCCTTCACCGCAAAACGAAAGCGGAAAGAAAACGGCCCAGGAAAAATCGCCAAAGACACCCTTTAGGTCCAGCCCTGTCTTAAAGCATGGTGCGTCGTCCGACTGGCCCGCGAGAGCCCACACGGCCGAAACTGGTCGAGCTACCCGGGCCCTCACGGTCGGGTCGGGTCAAGCGGGCGGGACATTCAAGTATGGTGTGCAGCTGGCACGCGAGAACACCAGCGGCCGGGCCTGGTCGGGCAGGCCGGGCCCTCACGGGCGGGTCGGGTCGGGCGGGCGGGACACCAGTGCACCGCCCCGCTGGCACGCGAGAGCCCCAACGCGAGAGACCCCTCTCCCCTCGGAGGCCGACACCCGACGAAGACGCCGACGACGACGCCGACGACGACGCCGACGACGACGCCGACGCCGACGCCGACGCCGACGCCGACGCCGACGCCGACGCCGACGCCGCCGACGACGACGACGACGACGACGAAGGCGGCAACGACGACGCTGGCGGCAGCGGAATCGAGTCGGATGCTCCGCTTCGAGCCGGTTCGATTCGGCAAGCAACGATATCGTTTTGAATTCGAACCGGTGACGTGCAACGCTGGTATCAAAACGCTGGTATCGAAACGCGTCGTCGGGGAACCGACGGCAACACGAAACGGCGACGAGTGCAACGAGTGCGACGGGGAGGGCGGCGAGTACGGCGATGAGTGCGACGACGAAGGCCCCAGCAATGTCCAGGAGGCCCTCGCGACAGTTTCTGAGACCTCCGACACAATCCTACGAAGACCTTTGGGAAAGGGCCCCGCGAGTAGTTCTCGTGCGAGCCTTTGGGTTGACCCCAGGGATAAGCCAAGAGTAGGCCTAGGAGAAGGCCCTACAATCCTCGTCAATTATAGCCGGAGTGCAGTATCCCAAAATAGGTTTTTTTTATCCCATCGCGGTTTCCAAGGTCGATTGCGTGCCCGTCCAGTGCGGGCTGGCATGGAATGTTAGAACATGATAACCAGATGTTTGCACATGAGATGTTTACACCCTTCCTGCAACTCCCTTCCTGCAACTCTCCTTCAACTCCTCTCCTTTCCCGTTGGGTCCTCTCCTGCAACTCCCTTCCTTTCCCGTTAGGTCATCTCCTACAACTCCCTTCCTTCTCCCCCCTCCTCCTCCTCCTCCTCCTCCTCCTCCTCCTCCTCCTCCTCCTCCTCCTCCTCCTCCTCCTCCTCTTCATCCCGAACGGCATCTCGAAGCCCAAAGTTGCGAGGATGTCTCCAGCGTAACGGGCTGGACACCTCGAGCGCGGCATCTCTGACCCCAGAGTTGCGACGATGTCTCGGGCGAAACGTGTTGCGAGGAAGTCTTAGGCGAAACGGGCCGGACCACCTCGAGCGAGGCGTCTCAGAGCTCCGAGTTGCGGGGGCCTCCTGCGGCCTCCTGGGGCCTCCTGGGGACCTCCTGGGGCTTCTTCCTGGGCTTCCTGTGTCCTCCTGGACCCCACCTGGCGATTCCTGAAGCCTCTTGGGGCTCCCAGGGGGGGATATCTAACATGTGGCCGTCTGGCCCCCCCCAAATTGGGGGGCCACAAGAGCAGGAAAATCAACGAATCGACACCGGCTGTGTATTAACTTGACACGTTCTGATAAGGGGCCTCCTCGGGCCTCCTGGGAGCTTCCTGTGAATCTCCTGGGGGCCCCTGGGGCCTGGCCTGGGCGGTCTGCGGCCTCCTGAAGCTCTCTGGGGCCTCCTGGGGCTCCCAGGGTCACAGGGGGGATATGTAACATGTGGTCTTCTGGGCCCCCAGGCCGGACTACCTCTTGCGCGGCATCTGGGGCCTCAGAGTTGCGAGAATGTCTTGTGCAAAACGGGCCAGACCACCTTGCGCACGGCATCTCAGAGCTCAGAGTTGCGAGGATGTCTCAGGCGAGACGGGCCGGACCACCTCGCGCAGGGCATCCCCGAGCTCAGAGTTGCAAGGATGTCTCAGGCGAAATGGGCTGGACTACGTAGCACAGGGCATCTCCGAGCTCAGAGTTGCGAGGATGTCTCTGGCGAAACGGGCTGGACCACGTCGCGCGCGGCATCTCCGAGGTCAGAGTTGCGAGGATATCTCAGGCGAAATGGGCTGGACCACCTCTTGCGCGGCAGCTCAGAGCTCAGAGTTTCGAGCATGTCTCAGGCGAAACGGGCTGGACAACCTCTAGCGCGGCATCTCGGAATGCAAAAGTGCGATGATGTCTCAAGTGAAACGGACCGGGGCGGCATCTCGGGGCTCAGAATTTGGAGGATGTCTCAAGCGAAACGGGCCGGACCACCTCTCGCGCGGCATCAGAGAGCGCAGAGTTGCGAGGATGTCTCAGGCGAAACGGGCTGGACCACCTCGCGCACGGCATAGCAGGGCTGAGAGTTTGGAGGATGTCTCAGGTGATACGGGCCGGACCACCTCTTGCGCGGCATCTGGGAACTCAGAGTTTGGAGGATGTCTCACGCGAAACGCCCAATCCCGGACAACTCAGAAACGAGAGTTGCGAGGATTTCTCAAGCGAAACGGCCTGGAGCACCACATTTTTTTGAGGACGTCTCTGCTTCGAATTCCCTCGGCCGGAGTTAGCTTCTATCACAACAGGACCCCGTTCAGCAAGCTGTTTGGGGGGAAAAAATATCCAGAAATGGAAGTTGAAATCCTGGAGCACGATGCTTTCGGGCACTTGTCAGAAAGCGTGTTCTTCAATGTTGAGAGGGTGGGGTCGGTTTTTGGACAAGACCGCGTCCGAGTCAACAGGCATGCGTCAGCATTGGAGTAGCGCTGACCCCACAATCACCGAATTCAGAAGTCTTCTGTTTATTTGTGACGAGGCATGTAGGAGTAGGCCTAGAGATAGGGCCTAGGGGCAGACCTAGTGTAGCCCCAGAAGGCCCCAAGCAGGCCCCAACGGAACCCCGTACGGGCAACCGAGCCCCAAGACAATGCAGTATATAGAGAAACCCCCAAGGCGGCCAACGAGGACCCGAAGAAGGCCCACTACGCCCAGGATGGCCCCGAGGGCCCCACTGCTGCCCCACACGATCCAAGACAGCCCCAAGACGGCCCAGATAGCAGAGAGCCGCCACGAAAGCTCCCCGAGAAGTGCAGGGACGAGAGGCGCCGCACGCGCGACGGCCTCCTGGGCGTCTTGCCCGACGGGGGTCGACATGTGGAGCGCGTTCTGCTTGCTTTACCGCAGCCCCCCGGGGCGTGTCTGCGAGGCGTCTCCGCGGGCACACGTTTGGCGGCACGCGCAAGGTCGGGTGTTGCTAGAAGTACCCCATGGCCCAAGGTGCCCCCCAGCTTTTCGCTCCATGTTGGAGCCCCTGGGGCCCTCTTGGCCTCGTGAGGGGTGCTTTGGGAGCCGTTTGGGCTACCCCGAGAATCCTGGGGGCACCTTGGCCTAGCAACACCCGACAAGGGGGCGGGGGGAGGGGGGAGGGCTTCTCAGAAAGAGGCTGCTTCTTAGAAGGCGCGGGCCTTACATCGTTCTTTGAAGCAGGGGTGCTTCTGAGAAGTCCTCCCCCCTCCCCCTCCCCCCCTGCGCGTGGCTGAGTACGCTTCCATGCGTTGGCCTGCGAGGGACGGCCAAAAAGCCTTGGGTCGATGCGAACTGCGTCGTGCACGAAAGGTACGCCGCTGCGCGTGCCGTGTGTCTGTGTGGTATCTTTCGCGCGCAACGGGCGCAGCACTGGCTGGATCTTCATCCAATACGTGCGCGTGCTCTGTACCGGGCTGCTGGATGCAGAGCGACCGTGCAGCCGCGCGTTGGCGGCAGCCCAAGACGCACGCCTCCACCTGGGAAGCTCTCCAGATGCAGGGCTATCACATGGGACGCGAACTAGAGCGAGAGCGGATCCGAGGCCCACCGACATGGGAAGGGGATGATGATGATGCTGATGATGATGATGATGATGATGATGATGATGATGATAATGATGATGATGATGATGATGATGATGATGACGATGATGACGATGATGACGACGATGATGATGATGATGATGATGATGATGATGATGATGATGACGATGATGATGGTGATGATGATGAGGAGGACTAGGAGGAGGAGGAGGAGGAAGCGGAGGAAGAGGAGGAGGAGGAAGAGGAGGAGGAGGAGGAGGAGGAGGAGGCGTCAGCCCATAAATGCGGTCCACGAGGTCGTACAGGTCGGACTGGTCGTCCTTGTCGTCTTCCTCTGGGGAGGCCGGCTCGCACGCTCGGGCTCCCGCCAGGCCAGACGCTGCCAGGAACCTGGAAGCACGCAGAATGGCGCGGCAGCCATGCGCTCCGAGAGGGGTGCCGCTCCGGGAGGAGGAGGAGGAGGAGGAGGAGGAGGAGGAGGAGGAGGAGGAGGAGGAGGAGGAGGAGGAGGAGGAGGGGGAGGAGGGGGAGGAGAAGGAGGAGGAGGAGGGGGAGGGTAGGAGGACAAGCTAGTGCGCTCGGCGGTCATAAAAAAATTTTCCTGACATCTAACCCTCTCCCATCCCTTACATGGCGCAGGACAGAATCCCCTCTCTACTCGCACAATCGGATGTCGAGCAGGGCAATGATCCCGAAAGGGTACGCGATGCATTGTAGAGCACGGCATGGCGTGGCGTAGAAGAGCACCGCAAAGCGTAGTATCAACCTAGCATTGCATTGCATGCCGTGGCATGGCACGGGAAATGACGCCAGCGCTGCAGCGGGAGCACGAGTCGAAACGAGCGGAAGCGCGGAAACGAGGCCAGCGCTGCAGCGGGAGCACGATTCGGAACGAGCGGAAGCACGGAAATGAGGCCAGCGCTGCAGCGGGAGCACGATTCGGAACGAGCGGGGCCCGAAAATGAGGCCGGCGCCTCAGCGATAGCAGCATTTTGGAAAAAAATGCAGGCGAAAACCCAACTCCAGGGAAACC